ATCAGACTCATAGTGATTCTTCTGTTCTCAGCCTCCCAAATGCTGGAATTACAGGCATGTGCCACCATTCCACCGTCTCAGCACGCCCAGGGGGCAGGGCCGGTATGGCATGCCTGGGATTGAACCCCAGGCCGATGTGTTCTGCCTAAGCAGGTGCTTTAATCTGCTGAGCTATCTGACTGGCCCTCTTTTTTAAAATTTCTGAAATTTTTTTTTATTTTAATATGTTTCTATCTTTAAAAGAATTAAATTTTATTTTGAGACAGAATCTCACCAAATTGCCCAACATGGCTCCAAGCTTGCAGTCTTCCTGCCTCAGCCTCCTGAATAGCTGAAATTACAAATATGTACCATCATACTTGCCTTGAAAATAAAGTATTTTTTGAGCCAGGGAGATAGCTCAGTAGAATAAGCGCTTGTCTGGCAAGTGCAAGGTCCTGAGTTCAATCACGAGTACAAAAACAAACAAACAAACAAACAAACAAAAAACAGAATAAACACTCCTGGGGTCATCACCCAGATTTTCCACACTACCTTTCTACACTCCTGTTTTTCTCCTTTTTACCACATTCTACCCCATACATTGCTTGCTTTCAGTTTCTTAAAAGAAGGTTGTGTATAGCCAGTGTGGTGAACACACCTGTAATCTCAGTACTCTGGGAGGCTGAGGCAGGAAGATCTCAAGTTCAAAGCTATCCAGGCAATTTAGTGACTCACAGAGAACCTGTCTCAAAATAAATTTTAAGGGTTGGGGATATAGCTCAGTGGTACAAGTGCGTGCCTGGCAAGCACAAGGTCCTGGGTTCAATTTCTGGCACCAAAAATTAAAAAAAAAATTTTTTTTTTTTTAAAGCCTGGGGATGTAGCTCAATGTGAAGGTCCTGAGTTTAATCTTGGGAACTGAGAAGAGGGGGAGGAAGCATGGTGGCACCCACCTGTAATGCCAGCACTCTGGAAGATTGAGTAAGGAGGATTATAAGTTTGAGGGCAGCATGGGTAACTTAGCAATTTAGTGAGACACCGTCTCAAAAAAAAAATAAAATAAAATAAAAAATAAAAATAAATAAATAAATAAATATGGATGTAGCTTAGTGCAGAGGCCCTGGGTTAAATCCCCACCACAAGGGTAGAAAGTGGGGAGGAGGTGAGTACCAAGAAACATAGCCTAGCTCCATGCCTATCCCTAGGGTACAACACACACAGGGGGTGAAAATTAGGTGGCGTTTCAGAAGGTAATCAAGGAATTATTATCCTCTGAGTAATTTATTTCTAGTAATGTATTTCTGCAATTCATTTGTTTCTGGGTTTTTTAATTAATTATTTTTTTCTTTTTTGTGACAGGTTTTTGCTATGCAATTCAGGGTGGACTTGAGCTCATTTAGTCCAGGCTGGTCTAAAACTCACAATTCTCCTGCCTCAGCCTTCCCAGTGCTGGGATTACAAGCGTGTGCCACCACGCTCAGCTTCTGTTTTTGTTTTTGGAGACAGGGTCTTGCTATGTAATTCAGGCTGGCCTTGAATTTATGATGATTCTTCTGCCTCAGCCTCCTTAATGCTGGCATTACTGCCAAATGCCACCACACCCAGCTATTTCCACATTTTAGATGTTTTCCCAGACTGAACCTATTTTGGTATTTTTGCCTTTAAAATTAGAAATTCATGCAGCAGTACTTAGAAGTCTGAGGCAGGAAGACAGCTGTGAGTTGGAGGCCAGCTTGCACTACAAAGCAAGATATTGTTTCCAAAAACAAACTAGAAATTCTAGGCTGGGAGTTTAGTTCAGTGGTGGAGTGCTTGTCTGCCACACATAAAGCCCAGAGTTTGATCTTTGCATGGCAAAAAAACAAAACCAAAACAAGCAAAAACCTCTTCAGAGCCGGGGAGATAGCTCAGTAGAATAAGCGTTTGCTTGGCAAGCACAAGGGCCTGAGTTTAATCCCAGGTATTGCAAAAAACAAAAACAAAAACAAAAACAAAAACAAAAAAAACCAAACAAAAAAACCTCTCCAAACTATAATTCTTTGAAATATCTATCTGTCTGTCATCTATCTATCTATCTATCTATCTACCTATCTATCTATTTCTTGAGCCTCCTTTCAAAATACAGTGAGCTACTGCCTATAAGGCCTGATGGAAAAGAGAAATATCAAGACCAATACCTGGGCAAATAGCTTTCTTAACACTCTCTTTGCCTTCTTATGTCTTCTTATTCCCTGTAAAACTTCCCTTTAGAGGATTTTTGTTGTTGCTTTAAAAATACTTATTAACTCCTGGGCACAGATTTTAATTTCCTATTCTTCCCTTGAATTTTAATGTCTCTGATTGGAATTTCAAGTTACAAAATATTTTTTGGAACTATTTTTATTGTAATCCAGGATCATTCAAGAGACAAACAGCATTAGAAATAAAACAGCCTAAAGTATTTTTAAAAATATGGTTCCATTTGGTAAGGTTGGTAGAAGTGCAGTGAACAGAAATGATACTGTTTTTTTCACTTCTCTGCATTTGTTTTGAACCACAGGCTCCATTCTGATTTAGGAGTCTTTCTTGCTCAGCATTTCAGTGATAATTCTCCCCATGGTCTACAGGATCCCTGTTCTCCTTGTTTCTATAGCAACAGTCCTGTGTTGCTTGGCTAGAAGCAATTTTCTGCTGCTGTGGTGAAGCCCTATTTTTTTTTCATTCCTTTCTCTCTAGTTGCCTTGGTAACTAGCCTCTTCCTTTTCTGGTCTATTGGTATAAAATTCCACTCCCCCTCTTTTTTCACTCTCTAGTAACAGTCATCTGGTCATGACTTGGACAGACTCTTCCATCTATGAGTGAGCATACTGTGTCAGCATCAGACTGTCATCATGAAATCAGCCTTCCTTTTCCTTTATCTCCATCATGTCTCTGGCCTGCCATCTTTATGGTGGTTGTCATGGTAACTATACCCTCTGAAAGTCTCCAGGCAAAGGTTCTACAGTTAACAACCATCATATGAAAGTGTCTGCCAATAAATGGTCACACATCTCCATTTTAAATCTAGCCCCAGGCGGGTACCACAAATTCGAGAAAACAAAGCTTTTTATCAAAGCAAGCTGGTTTGAGAAAGGGAGGTAACAGGGACCCAGAACTGGGAATGGTGCTCTCTAAACAGTATGTGTGGACACAAGATTCATGCTGGGTCTTCAAGCGTGTACCTTTTATGGTAAAGGAGATTCCAATGACTGAGAAATATATTGGTAGTTATTCTAGACAGAGCTATCATAGACCCTTAACTTTTAGGGGTCACTCCTTTGGCATGAGGAATCCCAGTGTGACCTTGCATTTTTTTTTTTTTTTTTGTAGTGCTAGGGATGGAAGCTGGGTATGTCAGTCAAATACTGTATCAGTGAGCTACATCTCAGCCCCAGTTGGCTAACAAGGGATCAAATAGTATAGCTATTTAGGCATTTTTGCACATTCCTGAAAAATTCTGTGCCTTTAGGCTGCTGCTACTACCTTTTTGGAGAGGCAGATGGGATGTGCTCAACAAATGTTGGTTGTTATGTGCCAGGGTATGGTAGCAGGCACCTTTCTGATATTTCATTTTCTCCTTATGGCAATCTCGAGAGGGATTCTGTGGTAAGAACACTGAGGATAATAGGTGAATTAAGGGCTAGAGGTGTAGCTCACTGGTAGAGCACTTGCTTGGCATCTTGAAAGTCCTGGGTTTGTTCCCCAGTAACACATTCCCTGGCCCAATGATTTTTTTTTTTTTTTGCGGAACCAGAGATTGAACTCAGACCCTTGCGCTTGCCAGGGAAGTATTTATTCTCCTGAGCCATCTCCCCAACCCCCACTAAAAAAATTAATGAAGTTGACAGAGCTGATAAATTAAAGTTGAGATTTCAAAAATTTTGTTCTTCTCAACCTTATTTTTCCTGCTCCCACTTTAATCTGAGAGCTGTTACTATTTTTTTTCTTTTCTTTTTTCTTTCTTTTTTTTTTTTTTTTTGGCAGAACCGGGGATTAAACTCAGTCCCTTGTGCTTGCCAGGGAAGGGCTTATGCTACTGAGCCATCTCTCCGCCCCTGAGAGCTGTTACTATTGTATTTTTCTGCCTTCCTTTCATCTTTAATTTGGTTAGCTGTTGCTTATTTGCTGTTTTTCTTTTTCTTTCTTTTTTTTTTTTTGTATTTTAGGGACGGGTCTACAGGGTGTTCAGGGTCTCGCTACTAGATCGGATTTGTAGTGATCCGCCGGTTTACAGCCTCCCAAGAGCAGGGATTACCAGCGCGCGCCACCACGCCCAGTTTCAAGCGCCATCTCAGCGTACCCTGGGGGCGGGGCCCGCACAGCCCACCCGGGATCGGT